TTTTTGCAAAAACAGGCAGTTATTACTACTACAATAACTAAACATATTTACAATGTATTAAATTTGTCCTGCTGGTGCATTTTCCCTCAATTTTCCCTATTAATTATAGCCATTCAACATTACAGTATAATTGAAAGCCATTATTTTTTAACATTTAATAGGCTCTGAAATATATAACTTTTAATTTAAGTGATTTTAAAACACTCTTCACATAAACGAAATTATATATGCATAAACTATACATATTAATCTTTATTCAAGCTAAAAAAAAATTAATAAGCTACTAGAACAGTCCCAGGATTTCTCTTTTTCTTTTGTTCTTTGATTTACATCAATGCAGTGGTTCCCAAACCTGTCCTGGAGGCCCCCCAGCCCTGCACCTTTTGTATGTCTCCCTTATCGAACACACCTGATTCCACTTATCAGCTCGTTAGTAGAGACTGCAAGAACTAAATTGGGTGTGTCTGATTAGGGAGACATACAAAATGTGCAGGGCTGGGGGGCCTCCAGGACAGATTTGGGAACCACTGCATCACAGACTTCAGCAGGTTTCACTTTAAAATCAGCGCTGTCTCTTTAAAACCTGATGCATATGACGCGGATCTGACACATAATCCGATTTTCTCCCAACTCTTTATGGTCATTTAAGACTTTATAACTCATTTAAGACTACGTTTACAAGGTAACTCGCCAAAACCGCGCATTTTGACATAATTGTGTGTTTTCGTGCGTTGAAGCGCTACTGGTGCGCTGTCTGAAGCGGCTCAGCGTATGCATACAGCCGAACGTGCAGCCTTTCAAACTATATTTCACTGCACCGTTTAGGCGGCGTAACCCCAGGCATGTGTCGCCACATTCTCGGGTTATGAAGAATAAAGAAGGGAAAAGTTAATCTTTCAAAATGAAGCAGCAAAATCTTCTCAGGTAAAAGTTACTAGAACTGTGTCTATCTGAAGCGGCTCAGCGTATGCGTACAGCCGAATGCACAGCCTTTCGGCAAGTATAGTTTTATACTTCACTGCACCGTTTCTGCGGCGTAACCCCAGGTATGTATCCCCGCATTCTCGGGTTACGGAGAATAAAGAAGGGAAAAGTTAATCTTCCGAAATGAAGCAGCAAAATCTTCTCGGGTAAAAGTTACTAGAACTGTGTGTAGGGACAAGCTGGCCATCACTGCTCTGACCTTTTCAGTCCGTTTGTATCCTATTATTTGATTCGCTCTTGTCGCTTATGACAGAACAGCTAATCACGATGATCTTGTCTTCGGGCAAGATTATTTGATTCGCTTATGTCAGAAACAGCGAATCTCTTTAAAAACGGGCTGTTTTTCCCACTACATTGCATTGTTATAATTCGTAAAAGTTTTACCCGCCAACTGGCGACTGACACTGTTACATGGACTCGCCAACGCTGATTTTTACTCGCATTTGGCACTTGGCGAGTGTTATTTTTTGGTCCCTGATATTTGTTTCCCCCACTACACTGCATCTCTTGTATTTAATTGCAAAAGCGTGAGATGCAGTGGAGTGGAATTAAAAAAGCAGTGTCTAGAGTAGCAATTTTTTTTTTCTTCTCAAACTTGAATATCTTTTCATTTGAGTGCCAAGTTTTTAGACCACTGTGAGCCATTCGCAAGACTGTGAAAGATGCAACACATGTTTACATAAGCACAGTGGAAAAATCAGCACAGTTGAATGCAAAACCCTGTTTCGTGTGAACAGCCTGTAAGTCCTTGAACTATTAATGTGGTTTAGTGTTTATTGAGGGAATCACATTTACTTACATCTGTTGCTGTCGTTATAATCACGTGTTCGATTCAATTTATTGTAGATGTGTGTCTCTGCTTTGATGAACTGGAACACATCTCTGTTTTCATCAAAATATTTCAAGAAGTGAGTCTGAAATTAGTGTGGAGCATTTGAAACAATGAGATAAGATGCTTTTACTCAGTGTGACTTACAGTAATCTTAATGCAGTTTCTTGCTTAATGCTTTTAATGTAGCATATTAATGCATCTTTTTTCATGTGAAGTGGTGAAAGTAGCACCTTTAAATAATGCATTGCTTTAATGATTACAGTAAATGGATTTTTTAATCTTAAAACACAAGGAGTGCTATCTTGCACCAGTTGTTTTGTTGTTCTTGCGCACCTGTGTGTGTGTGTGTCTAATTTCAAAAGACAGGAAGTGTTAGAGCTGTTTCGAGCAAACTCTGTTCAACTTCAAGAGCTTTGTGAAATCAAAATGATCCTAACAGCACAGTTTCGTTGCTTTCTTTAATGTTTGTTATTGAAATTCCTCCCTGACATCTCATCCTCTGCTGGAAATGTGTTTTTCTCTCCCGCAGACAACCCGACGGGCTCGTCCTCATCCTACCGCCCCCCGCCGCGCACGAAGGAGGTCGTCATCAATCAGCAGGTGGTTAAACTCAAGTATTGCTTCACCTGCAAGATCTTCCGGCCGCCGCGCACCTCCCACTGCAGCCTGTGTGACAACTGTGTGGGTGAGATGAGCTTGAGAAATGTACAGCTGAGCTCACATGCAACAAGCCTGAGGCTGTTTTTAATGATAATTATTAGTGGCGATTGCTAATGCATGTGTCATATTACTATTGCTCATACTAAAGGTTACAAGTTTACATTTATGCATTAGGCAGATGCTTTTATCTAAAGCTGCTTACATTGCACTCCGGGTATACATTATCAATTCATATCAGTTCATCAGTCTAAGTGCATAAACGTTGTTTGATCTGCAGGAGCATCACTCAGATATAACTAGAACAACAGTGTGTGTGCAACAGTGCCTGCTAGGGCTGCACGCTTAATGCGATATGGCTGAGTGGGATTATCAAACTGCGAAGGCTGTAGTTTAATTCAATATGCAGTGTGTAAAGAAAAGAATCACCCCCCTTTAAAATAATCACATTTTGTTGCTTTGCAGCCTGAAATGAAGACGGACACAGTTTTTGTTTTATCCAGCTGTATTTACTCAGTGCAACTGATAACATCCAAGTGAAAGATATAACACCAGGGCTCGCAAAATCGCAAGTCCGACGTCCCGGGGCTATTGTGTTTTCAACAGTCGGGCTACCAAAATGTATCACCGCCCTGCCCGACGGGCTATCTTAAACCGTGATATAAAATTCCTTCCTTGTTTTGCGTTGTTCACTAGCTTGTAGGGGTAAAACGGATCGTAGTTGATCGTTTGCACGTGTTTCAAGGTTCATAAACCATTCATGCGCATTCGGAGCTGCGCGCACTCATTCGAAGCGCACACAGAGAGCCGCGTTTCAGACAATGCACGTACAAAGAATTGATTCCTCTTTCACGTATCCTTGCATCTGAATGAACACACACAAAAAATGATCTCAAAATAACAGTCTCGGCAAGTATTCTTGTAAACACAGTCGGTTATGTCTTAAGTGAACATAAACAGTGGAGAAAGAAATCTCAAGTGCATCATTATATTGGATCCGTGCATTCTGTCTTAAAGGGGCAGCAGCCTATAAATACCTGCTGTTCCATAAGCGCCACCTGCTGTCAGACAGTGACAATTGTGTCTCATTCACAAAGCTAAAATCAGACCATTCTGTTTTTGCTTCAGATTTCGAAATTATACAGTCTAATTGCAATCTAAATAAGTATTTGGCATCTTTGTTTGGATCATGATTAAAATGCAGTGGTTGCCTCTGATTTTAATTCTAGTTTTTGCTGTGGTATCAAAGTAGTAGGCTATTCTGTTATTTAAATAATAACAAACCATATTTTTTTGCTCATCTGCAAAATGACCCGATCTGTTACTCAAAATCTGATATGATAATGCAATATGATCCGAGCTGTGGGTTTTGTGATCTGTTACACCCCTGCTCTCTTGACTTGTTATTTGAAGTAAAAAAGCGATCACTGAAGTTTTTAATCATGCTGATTTGTCCGCAGTGACGTTCAGCTGATGTCTTTTTTATTTTTTTTTATTCGGGCTACTTAAATTAATTTTGGGCTACCAAAATCTGAAGAATGTCTGCCCGAAGGGCTACCAGCGATTTTGAAATTGTGCGAGCCCTGAACACCAACATGTCAGAAAAAAACAAACAATCACTGAGTTGGAAAAAGGATCACCCCTCCTAAAATGACAAAATCTGTGTCCGTCTTTATTTCAGGCTGCAAAGCAACAAAATGTGATTATAAAGGGGAGTGATTCTTTACTAAACCCACTGTGTGTGCTGCTTGTTTCAGAGTAAAGAGCGGCACTGTGTTCATTTACACGTGAGCAGCTCATTCCTCAGTGTTTTCAGCAGCTCGGTTCACAGTAAATGCTGCTCCACACAAACTCATCTCTGCATCTGCTATTTTTAAACGACTTTGGGTTGTTTTAACGTGCATTTGGGAAGGAAACGTGCCAGCCTTCTTCCTATACTTGTAATGAGAAGAGCTTATCAGCAAAAGAGGCTTCATGCTATTTTCCATCAAAATAAATGCTTGATGGTTTAACATTTGAAAATGAAGACAGCCACAAATATTAGTCTTGTAATTTTACATTAATGTAAAATAAAATAATTATATAATTATAATATCCCAATAGTAATATTTCATATTTTATTTGTAGTATCATTTTTGATATTTTTGTTTAGTAGTAGTAATAGATGATTATTATTGTTGTTATTATTTTATAATCACAAATTTCTGGCCAAATTCTGTAGCCCTACAAAAAAGCACAGAAAACAAGTGTTTTTGTTTTTTTAATCACATTTTATATTGCGACGCAATCAGCTACTAGTTAAGAGTGAATTGATCATTTCAAAGTTGAAATGATGCACATAAACCGGTTAAATGCATATACCATCGATTAACAACCTTGTAGCTCACAGTAGGTCTGTCTTTATGTGTTTGTCATTTTTTGTCAAAAATCAACTGAATGGAAATGTAACTATGTAATTTAGTTAGCCTTAACACTCAATTTTAATTGCCAATATATTTATTGTGTGCAGTTTCACACTCTTCTGCTTGTGAATAGACGTAGGACGTACTCTTTCTCAGATTTAGCTGTGTTATTTATAGTGTTAGGTTTATGAAGCCTGTTTGTGTTTTGGTTTGATCTCTGACGTTCTCACTTGTTCTTAAGCCAGCAGACTTTTTAATTCCTGCTGTGATAAATCACGAGCCGTGTGACGGCCCGCTGTTGTGTGTGTTTGACAGAGCGCTTCGATCATCACTGCCCCTGGGTCGGCAACTGTGTGGGGAAACGAAACTACCGCTTCTTCTACACCTTCATCATCTCGCTGTCTTTCCTCACGGCTTTCATCTTCGGCTGTGTAACCACACACCTAACTCTAAGTACGTGTCATTTAATTCTTTCTGTACCTGTGAGCTCAAACAAACGCATGCATCGCCGAGTGCTGTGTGAATTTAACATTCGTTCAGTGATATCAGATCACTTTCGAGTTCAGAGATCTTTGTATATACAGACTAGGTATTTCTTTCTAATGCTTTAATATTCACATGCAGGTACATTTAGTTTTGTTTCTGTTTCTCCTGCCATGAGTTATTGGCAAGCTATTGTTAGATGCATTATGATGCATTAAATTGATGAACAAAGTTCAAAAGAACAGCATTTGTTTGAAATAGAAAGGTTTTGTAACATTATAGATGTGTTGACTGTTACTTTTGATCAAAGAATCCTAAAGAAAAATATCATGGTATCCACACACATACACACACACAAAATGAAGCAGCACAACTGTTTTCACATTGATTAATAATCAGAAATGTTTCTTGAGCAGCAAATCAGCATATTAGAATGATTTCTGAAGGATCATGTGACACTGAAGACTGGAGTAATGATGATGAAAATTCAGCTGCGAATCACAGGAATAAATGACATATAGTACAATATAGTACAACAGATAGTACAATAGAAAACAGTTTGAAATTGTAATAATATTTCACAATATTACTGTTTTACTGTATTTTTGTTCAAATAAATGCAGCCTTGATGAGCAGAAGAGTCTTTTTTCAAAAACAAAAATTATACCGACTCTAAACTTTTGAACAATAGTGTAACGTATAATAGAGATGAGGTGCATCATGGGATGTTTGAACTGCATTGAAGGAGTTGTATGCTGGACATTTGTTGGTTTCTTTAGCATCACTATCCTTTCATTTTTATAAAGAAAATGTAATGTAACATTGTTCTTTTGTTCCAAATTGGCAAAACTAATTTCCAGTTTTTGAGCATAAACCATTTAATTTATGTGTCCAGGTAATTGACTGGTAGTGTAGTGTTTACATCAGCTCTTTTTAATCAAAGAGTTGGTTTCTTTGCACTATGCTGTATTTATAAAGGCAAACACAGATGCCAAATGAGCCGTGAGAGGCCATGTGAATTTCTTATTGGACTTAAATGGCTTAAGATCTGATAAAAGCGTTTAGTGACTAATGCTCTCTTTTATAGGGTCGCAAGGAGGAAATGGGCTTGTTTTTGCTCTCCAAGCGAGTCCTGCCAGATATCCTTTCATTTGGTGATGTTTGAGTTCAGATGTTTAACTTGAAAACTAAGGCCCGGTTTCACAGACGGGCCTTAGCTTAAGCCAGGACTAGGCCTTAATTAAAAGGGTCATATGATGTTGCTAAAAAGAATATTATTTTGTGTATTTGGTGTAATGAAATGTGTTTATACGGTTTAAGGTTAAAAACACATTATTTTCCACATACTGTACATTATTGTTTCTCCTCTATGCCCCGCCTTTCTGAAACGTCTGCATCTGAATATTTGGGTTAAACTGTTCTGGAACAGTGTTGTAAATACAACTTAACCACTGATTTCTAGTCGTGTCCTTCCAAAAAAGGCTTGCAGCAACCACATGTGACGACCCCGGGCTAGACTCCGCTTCGTCCACGGTGAAAGCCGATCCGGTGATCCACAGCACGAAGTTGATGTATTTCCTCAGCGACCAGCACGGATCAGCTCTAGGCATGACGAAGCGGATATCCTCCTCTTTTGGAAGACCAAACAAAGTAGTTTCGCTTTCACAACAAAGCACACAGCGTCTTCACGACATGGCGGCAGCAGCAACAATACTACAGCGAGAATAAAAGTTACGCCTTCTTTCTTTGCGTGAACATTTGGGCGGCGTTATGCAAATCTTCCCACATAGTGACGTAGATATGTGGGGCCGTGTGTTGAGACAGCTCAAACATGCATTTTAGTCTGGGACTAGCCTTAAACCATGTCTGTGAAACCGGGGGTAAGTCTATCATTGCCGTAAAGGAATGTTCTGGGTTACAAACAAGTGAAGCTCAATGAACAGCATCTGAGAAACACAAAATATTCTCAACTTGTGCCTCAATTTATCAAAGCAAATGAAATAGGGTTTGTAGTAATGTGCTTACAATGAAAATCTATGGGGCAAGACATGACAATGGGAATCTCCCCCCCTCCCAAAAAAACTTACAATAAAGGGTTTTTTATAGTATAGCCATAGCGGTTTTTACACTGCGCACGTATGAGTGCATCTGAGTGCAATGGTTCCCAGCACCCAAAATGTCACATTTCTGCTTTTAAACACTTCTGTATGGAGCACTGCATATTATATATGGGGGGGAAAATAGATATGATGACCACAGTGTATTTTTTCTTTAATTTTAGTTCAATTGCTCCCATGTCTTAATTAGTTTCTTCGTTTTGGGTAAATCTTGGCCACATTGTATTAATTCACTCCCTTTAGTTAAATTGTGGCCATGATTTAGCTAAAACAAGAGAATGCATTCGTAATCTGTGGCCATTTTATATTTGTGTGTGTGTGT